TATAGGTGCCCACCATAATTCCCAGCTAATTTTTCTATTTTTAGTAGAGACAGGGTCTCACTCTTGCTCAGGCTGGTCTCAAATTCCTGCACTCAAGCAATCTACCAGCCTTGGACTCCCAGAGTGCTAGGATTACAAGTGTGAGACAGTGCACCCAGCCAGATCTTCCAATTTTCAAAAGGAGACAACTATGTGTTTTTAAGGTGGAATCTGCTGATATTTAGATGCTGACAATCAATTCAAATAAATATGTCTATATTAATATGTAGATATCCAAAGAGCCTGTCTCCAGGCTTATGGGGACTCTTAGATGTCCCTGTGTGACGTCTGGGTTAAAATGATGACTCAGGACCAGATGTTATTTTTTTAGTTAGGATTAGTTCTTGCTTCCTCAAAGACCTACTCCACGCCTCAGACTCCTGTCACTGAGGGGCTCAAAGAGGATGCTTCAGGAAACCTGGATTCACTACCCTCTAACCAGAGGGCTGAGATGGACAGAGGTGGGAATGGGATTGCAGCCCGGTCTTTTTGGATCACATTGCCACAGTGGCTCCCCAGGCTGCGTTCTAGGCACTTTGCAGGCACTGTCTCCTTGAATCCCAGTACAAATAACTCTGAGAAGTCTACAATCATAAAAGACAACAGAATAAAGAACAAAAACCGTATGGTCATCTCAGTAGATGCATCTAAGAAAAAGCATTGGACAAAATTCAACATCCTTTCGTGATAAAAACTCACAGCAAATTAATAGAAGGAATATACAGCCACACAACAAAGGCCATATATGACAAACCCACAGCTAACATCATACTCAGTGATGAAAATTTGCAAGCTTTGCCTTTAAGATCAGGAACAAGACAAGGATGCCCACTCTTACCACTTGTATTCAACATAGCACGTGAGGTCCTACCCAGACCAAATAGGCAAGAGAAAGAAATGAAGGCACCCAAATTGGAAAGGAAGAAGTTAAATTATCCGTTTATAGGTGACAAGATCTTACAAATAGAAAACCCCTAGGCCAGGCACGGTGGCTCATATCTATAGTCCCAGCATTTTGGGAGGCTGAGATGGAGGATTGCTTGAGGCCAGGAGTTTGAGACCAGCCTGGGCAACCTTATCTCTACAAAAAATTAAAAAAGAAATTTAAAACCTGAACAAGAGCAAGACCCCATCTCTGAAAAAAAAAAAAAAAGCTGGGCACTGTGGCAAGCATCTGTAGTCCAAGCTACCTGGGGAGGTTGAGGCAAGAGAATTGCTTAAACCCAAGAGTTTGAGATTGCTGTGAGCTAAGGCACAATGGCACTCTACCAAGGGCAACCAGGTGAGACTCTGTCTCAAAAAAAAAAAAACAATAAATAAATAAAAGCACAGATATGTTATTGACTTTCATGGGTCCTGGGCATGTTAGCCCTTCCTCCCTAAAAAAATTAAAGATTATTTTTGCATTTGTATAAAAGTTAACATGTTAATATTAATACATTACGTATTACGTGTTAAGACATTGCCACATCATAGTCTATCTAAAAGTTCATTCTTTGGATCTGATTTTTTTTTTTTTTT